TAGAAAGTCCCGTGAGCAGAATACGTCCTCGGGACTGCCTGTGTCGCTCACCACCAGGAAAGTCCCGGATCAGGCGACCGGGGAACAGAAGGCGAAAAACAAACCTAGAATCGTTCAGAAGCCCGTGAAAGAAAAAGATGTGGAGAAACAGAAGAAAGGTAAGTAAAACGGCTTAGAGTTAGAGTAATTGACAAGTACTTTTGGAATCATGAGGGTGTGTGTGGGGGGGGGGGATGCGTGTGTGTGTGTGCGTGTATGTGTGTGTATTTATATATACACAGTCAAACCTTTGTGAAATGGCTACCCATTGTCAAGGAGAAAAGTGGCCGTATACCGCTGGTGGCTGTCTTTGGCAGGGCTGATCAAAATGGAGAAAACAAATCATTCTCTTCTAAGGTCCAAACCAGGGCTTGTTTCAGACTTTAGACTGTCGTAAGGTTAATTCAAAATTGTTTTTGTTTTCTTTTGAAAAACGGGCGTGGGGCGGGTGGTGTAAGAAGGGTTTTTGTCTTGTTGTTTTGTTCGCTTGTTTTTTGGTTATCTTTCTTTTTGTTGCTGACTTCGTGCAAGGGTATAATAAACGAAATATTATGTAAGCAAGACGATAAAGACCAAGTGCCCTGGTATAGTCTGGACAACACCAAATGGACAACTTGTCGACCTCATTACACAGAAACTAAGAGGCTAATTGTCCTGATTTTTTGCATGTGCCTCTGAATTTATAAAAAAAAACTACAAATATAAAAAGGTGCTGTCTATATAATCATTAGTATTTAATTACAGTCAGCGCATGGATTTTTTTTATCGGAACAAGAACGGTAGTTGAGTGTTAGTTTTTTTGTTGTTTTTTTTCTTTTGTTTAAATCTATTTTCTTTTCTGTTTTTTTCTGAACTGACTGCATGTGCCGCAATACGGAATTGTTTTCAGTCCAGCGGTTAGGCTTGTTGGTGACTGGGTTTAATGAGTAAAATTTATGTCATATCTTCACAGGGTTTTTTTTTAGATCAAATGCGTTTCAATTTGCTCTCGCTTTTTCATAAATCACCATGGTTAGATAACTTAATTTAGGAACCCAAACAAAACGTCGCTTAAAACTTCTGAGCTATTTCTTTAAAAAAGCTGATCGAGGCCATCCCTTTTATTCGATAACAAATCCCGAAAAAGGACCACACGTGTATGTTTAGGGAGGGAGTGTCTCTGCCTATGAACCTGCAGGGGGGGGGGGGGGGGTGCCCAGTGACATGTTTGTAGGCGCTTCAAATTTAACACTCTGTTGACTCCCGGTGTTGGGTTTGACCCAGTTGTATCCCCCCTCCTCCCCCCTCCTCCCCCCTCCTCCCCCCTCCTCCCCCCAACACCCCCCCCCCCTGCCCCCTTAAGATTTCTGGCTAAGGTCCCTGCAACAACTCTCTGTTTTGATAAGGTTTTAGCATGGTACCGAAATTGCAATTTAAAAAAGTGCGCGGTGTTGAGTTTAATAATTGTGAGGCAGCGTGGTGGAATCAGGCTCTCGTCAAAATAATCAAAGTGAAGAAACTTGCATTTTTCCGCAGGTTTGAGAATTTTTGTCAAATATATGATTTTTGGCCAAACACCTTTCGTGCCCCTTAAAGAATTCATTTCTGTGTAGATTTTTCTGAAAAACGTTGACTAAAGGTACAAAAAATGTAAATATTCAGTTACCATGGACTCTTAAGCTGAGGAGATAACTAATCTTTGGCGGCTATTTTCTTACAAATTTAACCTCTAAAAACAGGTGACCCCCACCTCCTTCTTTTGCAAATATCACGACTTGTATTCAAGATAAATGGACATTTTTTAACAAGCTTTAAGATAATACCAATAACTCTACATGCCCCAAAATCGACGAGAGCCTGCTTCCACCACACTGCCTCACAATTACTAATGGTTATAAGGACAGCACCTCTTTGTATTTGTTGCATATGCACGAAAATCGAGATATTTTAGGTCTTTTAGAATTCAGAGGCGCGTGCAAAAAATTAGAGAGATTCGATATTTAGATTCCGAGTAATGCGTCAATGAGGTCGACAAGTTGTCCATTTGGAGTTGCCCGGACTATAAAACAAACACACGGTTCGACACCACTCGGAGAACGAGCGACACTTCTGTCGCAAGTCCATTTTTGTCAACGCCCATTGTTACTTTGTCACAGAAAAGGTAAACAAAACAGTGACCAGTCACCTCACATACGATTTGTGCATGAGTTGTGGGCGGGGCTTATAGGTTAATATTATGACGGAACACACTTCCCTCACCGGCAGTTGAAAATATATTGTTAGGCCTACCCATTGGTCAACTTGGGCAAACATTCATTGGAGAGACTAACAATAATGACAGGTGAATTAATTATGACGGCCGTCCACAGTGTGAGGGTCCGATTCAAAATTTCGGGCAATGAATGACCACGCCTGGCTGCCTGAGGCAGGAAAATTTGACCGTGGGTTGATGAAATAAGGTGGCCGCATCCGCATTGGACAGATCATCGTTTTGCACAGTTAAATTGAATAGGAAAAAAAACCGCAAGACGGGGAATGGAAAATGGCAGTTTGTACAGATGACCGTTTGCACAGGTGGCTGTATTATACCGGTGGCCGTCATGGCAGGTTCGACTGTGTGTGTATTTGTGAGTTTATATGTGTGTGTGTATGTTTGTGGGTTTTGGTGTGTATTTGTGTGTTGTTTTTTGGTGTGTGTGTTTGTGTGAGTGTGTGTATGTGTGTGTGTATGTGTGAGTGTGTGTATGTGTATGTGTGTGTGTGTGTGTGTGTGTGTGTGTGTGTGTGTGTGTGTGTGTGTGTGTGTGTGTGTGTGGTGTGTGTGGTAGATCAAGAAAGCAAACAGACGCTTATGGTGTAGCGGTTAGATACTTTGCCGCCGCTCCCAGAAGACATTAGTTTGATTGCCTTATGAGGAGGAGTGTATCGAATATCTCAGACAGACAGACAGACAGACAGACAGACAGACAGACAGACAGACAGACAGACAGACTCTATTTACTGATTAATCAATATCCAAACCTCTTGTTGTCAAAAGGCGTATCAGATTCCTGTGGTCATGACAAAAACTGCTCTATCAAAATCGTTGTTTTCTATAAGGCTAAATTTATGCCCTCAATGATTCTATCTCAGTAATTCGGAGATTGTCCAACTGGAGTAAACAAATTAGACACTTGTAGTATTTTAAGTTGGGGCATTTCAATCGAATGGATACAATATTTTGAATCTGATGCATATGACATTTACTGAACATTTTTCATTTGGTTTTAAAAAAAACAAAGTTCTTCCCTCCTTCATGTTGCCTGACCTACTTTTTATCGTGGTTTTTCCCCCAGCGGAGACGAGCTTAAAGAAGATAGACCTGAAGAAATTGTTCCACTCTCTGTTTGAGGATGCCAGCGAGCCTGATGAAGACAGCGAGAAGAATAAAACGCTCACTCCGGAAACGTCTACAAAAAACGGTCAAACTAGTGAGCCTCACGCGTCCAGCTATCTCAAAGACAAGAAATCCATGAGCAGCAGATCTGACGACTGTCAGAAAAAACATGGCTACAACAAATCAGGTCACATTAGCTCATCGTCTACTGGACACCGCAAACTACAACATTCCTCTGTAGACAAAGACAGAGTGTCGGAGACTCCGAGCAATTCTAGCTCCAGCAAATCCAACAGCGACTGTTCTGAGACGAACAAACCTCAACCACGTTCACGATCCCTCTCTTCCAGACCTCACTCCTCTTCCTCGTCACCAAAACCTCAGACATCTTCGTCGAAATCGGGAACTGTTGAAATCAACGTTCGTGACAAAGTACCATCATCAGAATCTGTGACATCTTCGTCGAAACCAAAAACAGTCGGAATCAACGATCAGGACAAACTGTCATCAAAACCTGTGACTTCTTCGTCGAAACAGACAACAGCTGAAATCAACAGCCAGGACAAAATATCCCCGGAGAAATCTCAGAAAAGAAATCCATCCCGCGAGGGAGCTGTGGAGCTTTCCAAACATTACTTTAAACCTCTGGTGGAGAGACAGACCGCCCAAACCGCTCCGTCGCAGATATCGGAGAGAGAGAAGGTCCTCGCCCGTCTGCAGGCCATTAAAGAGCGGACTCTTGCGGCCATCCAAAAAGAGAACGTTCCGAGAGGTAATCGAGGTAAAAAGGAGAAAATGTCTCCCAGAGATGGCTCCGGCAAACAGGATGAGAAAGTCGTAAAGTCTGCTGAAATTGTGCGTGGCGTCATTTCCTCTGATGAAGACGAATCTGTGGACAATAACGTGCCGTCTGCCTTGGACATCATGCTGTCTGAGAGAGAAGCTAAACTAGAGAAGGAGAAGATTGCCCGGTTGGCAAAGCAAGCCTGGGAAAGGGCTCAGAAGAAAGATTATTCGAAAACGGAAAACAAAAACAGTCGGAAAAGGAAGTCGGTTCACAAAACCGACACTGGCAGTAGCAGTAAGCATTTCAAGCTTTCTCCCAGTCAGACGTCTGGGAACCAGGAGAAGACAAAAGAACGCCGTCCGTCACCCTTATCCGACATGGAAACGAACCTCGTGCCAAGTAAGGCAAAGAAACCTATCGTCAAACACTGCACAAGTGCTGCTCCTCCGCCCATGGGCTTTCAGGCGCTTCTTGCAGTGGCTGAACAAAATCAGAAAGAACCAACAAAACCGACCCCATCTATCTCAAATAAGAATAACAAAAAGGAGGAGAAAAGGCCAATGACCCAGAAAGAGAAGGAGAGGAAGGAAAGACTTAAGTCCAAAGAGTATCAGGAGTGGTTGAAAAATGGTGGGAAAGCCCCATGTCAGAAAAAAATTTCCGTTGACGAAGCTTCTCCTCCGTCTTCGTCCCAAACACGAGCTCCGCCTTCGTCCAGTTCTTCACGAGACAAGTTTAAGCCAACACCAGTCAGCAAGCCTACGCCTTGCATGGGTGTTAAAATGTCACTGAACAACCACACGTCTTCTGTGAATGCTAAACCGTCCTTGAACAAACCCACGTCTTTTACGACCGCTAAAGCGTCATTGAAATCCCCCACGTCCTCATGTGTGAGTTCTGACACGTCATTGAAAAAGTCTACATCTTCTTCGTCCTCTAAACCGTCACTGAGCAAATCCACGTCCTCTTTGAGCGCTAAATCGTCACTGAGCAAGCAGCACAGAGGAGAGCCCCAGCGACCACCCAGCAACAACCACGTGACCAACAGAGGAAAAGCCAGCAGCGTCCCTCACATGAACGAGACCCTCCTTGTGTGTGGGCCGGGCAGTGACAGCGAGGAGGAAGAACCATCAGCTCTACACAGTTTTAACAATCCTTTCGACAGGATCGTTAGTCAGGTGCACAAACACAAGAGGTCACACCCACGCACACAGTCGGGTGAGTTTTGTTTTGTCTCGTTATGTTAACATCATGATATTATTTACCCTTAGAAAAGATTCTCACATCAACCGACAGGACAAACAAAGACACGGAAAGATAAATCTTGTACGGTAATTCAACAAATTTTAATAAGCACCATTCTCGATGTCTAAGAAACTCATAATCCCAAACTGTTACTTCCACTGCAATATAATTATTATCTTGTAGTGATGTCAAAAATTTCTATCTTTACGTCCCCCCCCCTCTCTCTCTCTCTCTCTCTCTCTCTCTCTCTCTCTCTCTCTCTCTCTCTCTCTCTCTCTCTCTCTCTCTCTCTCTCTCTCTCTCTCTCTCCAGACCTGCCAGTACATAATG